CCCTCATAACGCTCTTCAAGAGTGGGGTGCTTTCCCGTCTGGAGTAGTCACCCCGTCTGATCCCCGAGATATGCAAGAGACTATTAGTTGATTGAGAAGGTCCAGAGGAGGGCCACCAGACTGGTGCCTGCCCTACGGCACCTCAGTTACCCAGAGAGATTAGAACGCCTGCGATTGCTGAGTTATACTACAGACGGGCAAGGGGTAACTTGATTGAAGTTTATAACATCTCAGAGGGCAGCTACTCAGTCGCATGGCCATACTTGGAGCTGGCGGACGCCCGCCCCACTAGAGGTCACACCTCAAGTTTGAAGAAGCCACAAGTCCAGAAAACTTTGAAGGCAAACTTTTTCGGGGTGAGAATTGTGAACTCTTGGAACAACCTGTCAGAAGGAGTTGTGACGGCACCGAGTGTGAGATCTTTCAAGACCAGATTTGACCAACCCCTAGGCCCCGCTGCTGGTCGATGACCTGTGCCCAGGTGAGCTCTTCCCTGTAAAAAAAGAAAAAAAGTACAGATAGATTCAAGAGCCAGTAAGTGCCTAATACGTGCTAACAGTGTGTAACAGAAACGTGACCGACCGCCCTAATGGCTAACGAGCAAATCAGTGGCGAAGAGGATAAAAGGAAAGTAAAAATAAGACATAATATTTCCGAAGTGATTGCAGGTATGTGTGGTTAGAGTGGCTGGTTGACAGTTTTCTGCTGGAAATTGAGGTGATGTGTTGCTGATCCATTCCCGAGGCATTTTATTCTTTGAACCAAAGCTTGCATGTCTCATTCACTCATTTTAACACCCCAGATTGTTCTCTGCCTTCTCCCGGAACTTTTGAGTTCCTTCAGGTTGGCGATCTCGTCTGTGACTGGTATCTTTCTTAAATAATTTTTCACCCCGAAGGTTGATATCTTCCTAGGGACTGGTGTGTCATCCAGTGTCTCTTGTGTGAATACTGATACAATGGGTTTGTTGAGAGTATTTGTGGCCTGCTTTTCAAATACCCTAATCAATTTGCTTACGTTATTTAGGGAGACTAAAGGGGTTACAGTGTCTCGTATTTATTTTGCTTCTAATAATCGTATACAAGAACTTGGGATATCTTTTTAACAATGAACATGTTGGTAATTACAGTTCTGAGAGCGGCCGCCAGGGGGTCAACTAACAATCTGGATCGACAATGAGAAAGGGAGTTGAATTTTATCTCTGTAATTTTCAGTTATTGCTGCTAGTGTAATTACTTTTACTTTAAATGTTAATTTTATCTTCTTCGCCACTGATTGGCTCGTTAGCCAATTGGGCAGTTGGTCACATCTCTGTTACGCACTGTTGGCAAGTACTGGGCATGCACTCTTAAAGATTTTAATTAGTTGTTGAAGCGCAGGAATGACATTATAACGTCATATTACATGTAACCTAAGATTTAAATCCACTCCTCCGAAACTTGTATTGATATTCACATTGTTTAGGAAAAGACAATATTCTCCACGCGGTGGGGCAATTAACATGCATATGTTCATGAGTGGTAATTTCCCTGAGTGTTTCTACAGTACTGTATAATTTTTTTTTTGTATTCTGCGGCTTGCGTCATATTTGTCGTACACTGTATGCGCAATTTTCACGAAATTTGAAATTTCTTTAATAAAAAAGGAATTGTATGCAGGCTAATGGGAATTGGAAAAAAATCGAGTTTTGCTTAGCCGTCACACTGTCAAAATTGAATCTGTACATATCCAGTTGTGTATTTATCTAATTTTGTGTCCATAAGATTTAATCAATCTACAAGTTTATATATTTCTGCGTTGATTTCTAAATATGGAGCTTTTATGAAGGTGTATCCGGAAATTGAAGTTCTGACTACCTATTCATAATTGTTATAAAAATCGCCTAAAGCGCAGCGCAAAACTCACACCATTAGTTTACCTTACTTTACCTTATTTACCTAATGGCCACCAACTAGAGGTGGCCCTGGTCATGCTCAGGGAATTAAGGAAGCCAGCAGCCTGTGTAGGATCCCTCCATTCTTCCTGATAATTTTGTCAAGGGTTATTTTGAAGCCCAGTACTGTTTTTGATTCCACAACTTGCTTGGGCTGGTAGACTGTTCCATAAATCTACCATCCTGTGTGTGTGTGTAAAGTACACTATACATGATAAACTGGCGTGATATCATAAAGAAATGGCCCGGGTTCACGTTTTCCATCCCTTTCAGGACTTAAAATGTCTTATAAGATAAATACAACTGTAAAAGGCTGCACATTTGGACATATAGGACTCACCTGCGTCCAGAAACAACCTCAGTAACAGTAGCCGGAGAATCATGCTCGGCGCAGAATACTCCGGCTACACCAACGCTCTCTCTACCCAGGAAATGCCATTCCTCAGTGACCTCCACCACCAAGCACTGGAAAGGTTTGGCACTGGACTACTGCACCACCCTCGTCATCGCCACCTCCTGCCACCTGCAGCCCCCCCACCCAACTCGCGCAGTCCGCCACTACAACAAAATTCAGCCCATAAGAGCCCGCACCGATAGATATAAGAACAGCACCATCCCATCTATTGTTAAAATAATAAACAACTCCTGATTTATGTACTGTACAGCCCTGTAAATGTATTCAATGCATATTATATCATTATGTCTAAATCAAATGGAAGTCTGTATATTTTCAGCCACCGGCTGCAACTCTATTAATAAACCGTTTATTATTATTATTATTATTATTATTATTATTATTATTATTATTATTATTATTATTAATATGATTGATGGAAATGTTTGGTGCTCGGCGAATAGCTATTCTATTATTTTAAATATTGTACCCTGGTAACGGTCCATTGGCGATTACATTTCATCCATTGGCGTTTAAGGTATTCATATTATCGTTATCTAGTATATCAAACTAGATGTTGACACGACCTACTGCTCATCACCACAAAACTTAAAATAAATGTGCTCACTTAGACAGCCAGGAGCTACAATATACACAGTTTCCCATAAAATGTTCACAGAAAATTTGAGATACAAAACCATCGATTTTAAGAAAACAAAAGTTTATGATACACTTACTTAAAAGAGATGCATTTTATACTATACTATAGTATATAAGATGTATATACGAGTTATTGTAATATGAACGAGATATTTTTTTTATATTTATTACTTCCGTTCCACACGCATTTTTGGGAAATTAATTATTTTCTTCAAGTGCAAAAATGAGCGAATTCAAAAGCAATCACAGGGTAATAATATTCATAACAAAACAACAAAGATTGCATATCGCAGATTTTCAGAGAACATCAAAGTTTTGATGAATGAAAACTTTCAGACTTACTGAAAGATAAAGTTTTAATTCATAAACTTCAAAATATATTGTGTAGAAACAATATGTCTCATTGCATTTATTTTCCGTGTATGTACCAGAGTGAAATTTGGTTGGTTATCTGGAATATAATTGTAATCGCTTATAGGAGCGATTTTGGTTTGTGCAGGACAATAAGACCCTTATCGTTGACGCGATGAGTATAATTCGGTCAAAACCTGTTGAATACATTTTACATTATAACAACTGCTGATAAATCAGGACGCACATATTGAATAATACGATCAATGTACAGTACATAACCTGTTAAATATAACTCACATGTAACAACTGCTGAATCCATTACATCACAAAGATACTGAATCAAAGTCCACCAAGTTAGGGTAGGTTACGTCAGGTCAGGTAAGGACACGTCAGTTCCAGTTAGGGGTATTGTCTTAAAATTGATTTTTAACAAAAAACACCAGATTTTCTTGTTTAAGTGGCAAAATAATATTTAAAATTTCTTTTTAAAAACATTATAACTAAATGCAAAAGAAGAACTAAAAGGCTTCTGCTCCAATGACAAACATCTAATAATTCTCCCCCTTACCCCCTTACACCCCTCCCCTCCACCTCATCTCATCCCCCTGCCCTTTAACCCCTCTTCACAAGCCTAAATTAGCGGTTTGCATGTAAATTACCTTCACCTATTGTATGCATTATGATTGGCATATTTTCTACTGTTTGTGTGTCTGAGAACAATGCAAAAATAAAAGTAGAAGTCATAAACAATTGATTTTGTTAGTCAAACATTCACCTTAAAGAGAAAAGTGAAAAAAAATAATGATTTGCGTTCATAATTGTTTGCAAAATACTATAGATTTCCCCTCAAAAATAAAATAAAACAAAAAATACTTTGATTATTGACTAGCACTTACCCCTTATATCCCCTCACACCATCACCAGGAAAAGTCAAACACTAGAAAGATAAACATTAATCAAGCTCTCCTGTCCGTCTCCCCTTTTGGTAATGAAAAGAGGTCACCTTTGACTTTTCATTTATGGCTTTCCTTTCTCTTATGTTAGGCA